GGGACACATCCAGAACCCTCCTGAGTGCAGGGTGACACAGCCCCAGCCTTGCCCTCCCTGCTGAGCGGTCACTTGGTCACAGAAGGACACCGGGCCAGAGCAGCAGGACCTGCCTGTCCCCAGTGTCCTGCCTGTCCCCGGTGTCCTTCCCGCCTGTCCCCGGTGTCCTACCTGTCCCCGGTGTCCTTCCCGCCTGTCCCCGGTGTCCTACCTGTCCCCCTCCTGCCTGTCCCCCGTGTCCTGCCTGTCCCCGGTGTCCTTCCTGCCTATCCCCAGTGTCCTGCCTCTCCCCGGTGTCCTTCCCGCCTGTCCCCGGTGTCATACCTGTCCCCCTCCTGCCTGTCCCCGGTGTCCTGCCTGTCCCCAGTGTCCCGCCTGTCCCCGGTGTCCTGCCCAGGCTGGGCTCAGCCCGAGGGAGCAGCTCTGGGGTCCCTCCTTCCCTGGAAAACTCCAACACCTCGTGGTCAGCCTGCCCAAGTGCCACTGTCCCCACCCTTCCCTGGCCAGTCCAGCCACACCTCCTCAGCTCAGGTGCCAGGTGTGCCAGAGGTTCCCTCTCACACACTCGGGAGCCTCCTGGACCACGTGACACCTGGTCAAGGGCAGGTGGCCACAGGAGCTCTGCACAGGGGCCCAGAACAGGCCCTGGTGACACCCAGGCTGCTGGCCCTGCACTCAGGGACACCTGGGCTCATCACCTTCATCATCATTTTCATTGTCACCTCCATCACCGTCATCTTCATCAGTGTCACCTTCACTGTCACTTTCATGATCGTCGTCATCCTTGTCACCTTCGTCACTGTCACCTTCACTGTCACCTTCGTCACGGTCCATCTCCTCATGGCCAATGTCAGCACAATGTCCCTGAGAGCTGCCCCAGCACCTGTCCTGCTCCACCTGTCCCATCTAAAGAGCTTGGAGACACCCAGGGTACACCTGGAGACCCCCATGGCACACCTGGAGACCCCCATGGCACACCTGGAGACTCCCAGAGCACACCTGGACGCCCCCAGGGTAGCGCTCCAGACCTGTGGGGTCACACCTGTCCTGATGGGGGTCACACCTGTCCCCTGCAGGAATCACAAATGTCTTCTACGGAGATCACACATGTCCCCTGTCAGTGTCACACGTGTCCTGCAGGTGTCACACGTGTTCCTGTCGCGTGTCCCTGTCACGTGTCCCCGGGGCTGTCGGGCGCCCCCTATCGGTTTCCCACGCCCCTGCACGTGTCGCACGCACCGCCCACAGCCTCTGGCGCCCCCTACCGGCCGCGCGGCCCGGCAGGGGCCAGCCCCGCCCAGCTGCTGGCGCCACTTCCGGCTTCCGGTGCCGCTCCGGGGCCTGGCGGAAGCGATGGAGGGGCGGGACCGGAAACGTCGGGGGCGGGACCGGAAGCGGCGGCGGGGGCGGAAGCGGCGACCATGGCGGCGGCGGCAGCGGCGGGTCCCTGTACCGGCCCCGGTCCAGGCCCCGGCCCCGGCGCCGCCCGCACGAAGAAGAAGCAGAAGCGCTTCGTGCCGCAGCGCGTGAAGCTGCCGCGGGCCGCGGACCCGCTGCTGGCGGTGCTGGGCTGGGGGGTCACGCATCAGGTCAGGACCCGGCACCGGCACTCCCGCGTCTCTTCCCTCGGGACCCTCGCCCCATCCCCGGCACCCCCATGTCTCCTCCCCTCCCCTCCGGGATCCCCCGTCCTCAATCCCGGTCCGAGTCCCCCTCCCTCCGGGACCCTCGCGTGTTCTCCCCGGCATCCCCGCAGTCTCCCCACCTCGGGACCACCGTATCCCTTCCCTGGGACCGTCATTTTCCCGGAGCCCTCAGGTCTCCCCCTGTCCTGGATCCTATATCCCCCATCCCTTGGCTCCATCCTCCCGGGATCCCCATTATCCCCCATGCCCACACTTGAGGGTCCCCCTGGTTTGGGAGTTGTCACCGGCCCGGGTGGGTGCCTGGGGTGGTTTTTGGGGGTCCCAACGCGCCTTCCCCAGATCAACGAGCTGAGCCAGGTGCCACTGCCCGTGATGCTGCTGCCCGACGACTTCAAAGCCAGCTCCAAAATCAAGGTCAACAACCACCTCTTCAACAGGTGAGCAGCACGGGGCGGGGGGTTATAGGGACAGCATCCCACAGCGGGGGCCACCCAAAAACTCACGTCATGCCACGAACCCCCCCCAAACTCAGGGAGAACCTGCCCAGCCACTTCAAGTTCAAGGAATACTGTCCCCAGGTGTTCCGTAACCTGCGCGAGCGCTTTGGCGTTGATGACCAGGACTACCAGGTGTGTGTTGTGGGGCGCTTTGGGGGTACCCCCGTGCCCTCTCCGTGCTCCTGGCCACCTGTCCCCTCGCCGTGTGCCCCCCAGGTGTCCCTGACTCGGAGCCCCCCGCGCTGGGCAGGCAGTGGCCACCGCCTGCTGCTCTCGGCCGACCGGACGCTGGTGCTGAAGGAGCTGTCGAGCGAGGACGTGGCCGATGTCCACGGGCTGCTGTCCCACTACCACCAGGTACGGGGGGCCCGTGGGGCGCGGGGACGTCCCCGAGCGCGGCTGTGTCACCTCTGTCACCCCCCCAGTACGTGGTGCAGTGCCACGGGCAGACGCTGCTGCCGCGGTTCCTGGGCATGTACCGGGTGAGCGTGGACAGCGAGGACACGTACCTGCTGGTCATGAGGAACCTGTTCAGCCACCGCCTGCCCGTGCACAGGAAGTACGACCTCAAGGTATTGGGGTGTCCCCTGAGCCCCCTTGACTCCATTATGGGGCAGCCTGCTCCCAAAACCCCTCCCGTCACCTCTGTTGTCTCCTCTGCAGGGCTCCCTCGTGGACAGAGAGGCCAGTGACAAGGAGAAGGTATGGCAGGAGAATGCTGTGAACCCCCTAAATTTAGGGGTGGGGTCTCCAGGTCTCATTTTCCCTCCCCCCGCCAATAATGACAGTTCCTTACCTGTTCCCAGTCCTTCAACAAGGCAGGGACTCGCTCATGACCCCCGCAGGTACAGCCTCTGCCTGCGAGGGTCCCACAGCCCCAGGTGTCCCCTCCAGCTCAGGGCTGTCTGGGGGGCTGCCCCCTCTGTCCCTCCCCAGGGCAAGGAGCTGCCCACACTGAAGGATGTGGATTTCCTCAACAAAAACGAGAAGGTGTTTGTGGAAGAGGAGCAGCAGCGAGAGTTCATGGAGAAACTCAAGCGGGATGTGGAGGTGGGAATTGGGGGGGGCTGCACTCCCAGGGAGCCATTGAGGGGGGCTGTCTTCCCCCTCAGCTGTGGGAGTGGCCCCCACCCCAAATGACCCTTTGGCCTCCCTGTGCCCAGGCACTGAGGGTTTAGGGGAGAGAGCCCCCCCTGTGCCCAGGCTCTGAGGGTTTGGGGGGTTCTCCCTGGGGCCATGGAGTGTCCCCCACCCCTAATGACCCCTTGGTTGTTTCCCCAGCTCTGAGAGTCCGGGTGGTTTTTGGGGATCGTGTCCAGTATTTGATGCTTGTGGGGCTCCCCTTCTCAGTGTCCAGGCTCTGGGGGTTTGGGGGGGCCATGCCCGGGCTCTGGGGGTTTTGGGGTGAAACCCCGGAGGGTTTTGGCATGGCCTCCCTCCCAATTCCTTCCATTGCTCTGCAGTTCCTGGTGCAGCAGAAGCTGATGGACTACAGCCTGCTCCTGGGCATCCACGAGGTGGAACGGGGGGAGCAGGAGGAGGAGGAGGAGCTGGAGGAAGAGGAGCCTGGAGGGGGTGACGAGGGGGGCCTGGGGGGTCCCTATGGCACCTCCCCAGAGGGCCTGGGGGGGCTCCTCAACTCCTACCGACCCCTGGGACCTGGAGAGTTCGACCCCTGCGTGGACGTGTACGCCCTGCGTGGAGCCGAGGGTGAGCTGGGGGGGGAATTGGAGTGAGGGGGGTCGTGTGGGGAATTTGGGGGTGCAGGGAGCACTGACCCCCCCCCTGCTGTGCCCCCCAGGAGCCCCCCGACGTGAGGTTTATTTCATGGGGCTCATCGATGTCCTCACCCAGTACGACGCCCGCAAGAAGGCGGCACACGCGGCCAAGACCGTCAAACACGGGGTGAGGGGGGCACCCCGAAACGGGGAGGGGGCACCTCCGGTCTGCGGGGTGCCAGAGCTCCTTGGGGTTTTGGGGAGTGGGGTTACTGGGGGGTGAACCCTTGGAGGGAGGGCTTTGAGGGATGTTGAGCCTCTGGCAGGGTCTGGGGGTGCAGGAGGGGGGTGGGGTGTGGAGGGGTTGGGACTGGGGGTGGCTGTGGGGGTGTCAAGGGGAGCTGTAGGGGGTGCCCAGGCAGGTGTGAGTTCCTGTGGGGGAGTTTAGGGGAGGAGACACTTCCCAGGGGTGTTGTGAGGGGGCATTTCTGGGGTGAGGGGCTGGGGGTTCAGTTCTCAGGGTATCTGGGGCTGGGGGTCAGTTCCCAGGGGTGTCAGTAGGGGCTGGGGTCAGTTCCCAGGGGTTTTGGGGGTGTCAGGAGGGGCTGGGGTTGGTTCCCCGGGTATCTGGGGCAGGGTTCTGTTTTGGGGTGTCCGTGGGGGTCTGAGCTGGTGCTCCCCAGGCCGGAGCCGAGATCTCCACAGTGCACCCCGAGCAATACGCCAAGCGCTTCCTCGACTTCATCACCAACATCTTCGCCTGAGAGGGGCCCTGGACCCTCCCCACGGGACCAAAACCCCCCAGGGTGTGCTGACCTCCCCCTACACCCAGGGCCCCCATAGCAGCCCCCACCCCGCAATGGGGTCTCACTACTCAAGTGCCTTAACTTTATGTAAGGGGGGCTTGGGGGGCTCTGGCCCCGACACTGTTGGGGCCTGGGGTGCCCCCCCACCCCGCACAAGGGGTTCTGGGACCCTTCTGCCTCCTCCCAAAGCTGGGAGGGGTCAAACACTACTTGCCCCAGGGAGGGGGTGGTGAAGGGGGCCCCCACTCATGACTTACCAGGGGTGCAGCCCCCACCCCTGTTCCGAATGGGGCTGGGGGGACACGCCCTGCTCCCCTCCATGTGGGACCTGGGGGGGCTTCACAGCTCCCCCCCTTCGCTGCAGCTCCCGGGGGTCAGGGGAGGACCCCGGCCTGGTGTGACCCCCGGGGTGGGAGGGGCCCTGCTGGGCTGACACCTCTGTCCCCCATTTCTGGGAGTGTCGCGTGTCGTGTCCCCCGCCTCCCCGACCAACCCCATCTTATGGGGCTCTTTCTCCCGCTGCCTACCCCGAGAAATAAATTATTGAACCGGTCCTGAGTGTGCCCCGTTCCCTGCGCCCCTCGGGCCCGCCCTGCGCCCCTCAAGCCCCCCAGGTCCCCCCGCCATTCCCAGGGATCCCCGAATTCCCGGCTCAACGCCCCCGCCCAGGCCCCGCCCCTTTCCATAGGCCCCACTCCCCTAGGCCCCGCCCCCTCCC